GTGTATGCTTGTTACGACTACCAATGTCGAGACTGATCAAGTAAATCTTGCTATCTTGCCAAATCTTGCTTTTCCTCAACGCTCTTGACAAATATGAACACCACATCAGTCGTCCTGGTCGCTCACACTCGGTGGTGATTCTGTCTGAGGCTTGGGCTTCTTATCTTCCTCTTCGTCATCCGATTCGTATTCATCGTCCGAGTCCACCTCGGCACCTGCATGGACAGTGGAGTTTCACGCGTTTTACGTGAAGTGGCGTAATACTCGGTGAAAAACGCGATATTCGCGGTGATATGCAGTGATCGGAAAATATGTTTCTCACATCGCGGGTGAAACTCCAGTGTTGGAAGTTATTTTTGCTTTTCTCGGCTGAGTTCAGACGTTCTCTCACTAATTATTGAAGTTTACATATGAATTCGTTGAAAATATACAGAAATCAATGAGAATTTCCCGAAATTTCCTCACAATTTTTGTTTTGCCACCAACACACATGGTTGACCATGTGCATATTCCCCCTCCCCCCCAAAGCAAGGAGGTCCCCGGTTCGACCCCTGCACCTGTCAATTCTACCACACACTCACCCATCATTTGCTGGAACAGAGATGGAGCCAGATCTATATCAACATCCTCTTGATGTATAATCACCTCGCGCTTAACCTAAGCATTCAGTTATCAACATCTACGACGATCCTACTCAGGAAATCATCCAGGAACCTGTAATGTTCCCGGAGGAGAACTCATTTTGAATTTTCCACGGATGGCTAGGAACACATTCTTCAATCAGTTTCCCATGTAAATGTCATCATCACATTAGCAACATTCTTCCCCCTTGTGGAAGGCTTTCCCTCAAAGCTGATCTCCTCACCTCATCCTTCTTCAACGCAGTAAACTCAACTGGTATGCGCTGGTCCAGACCAGCGTACGAATCGCACATGATTTGCAGCATAAACTGATGCTTGCCAGCCTCGCGGATCGGGAACAGGATCTTCACCTCTCCCTCCTTCTCCAACGATCGATATCGTTCCATAGCCATAAAACGCCCACTGTGGCCGTCCAATCTGCAGGAGAGGTTGCATGCAATTCCCCATCATCATAAGCAGCAACATCAGCGCTCCGCGAACCGGCAGGATAGCACAAAAGTGGTTCATTCGGCATAAAAGTTGATGGTAAGAAGTGTATGAGGAAATGTCGTACACAATTTTCTGTCCCCAACTTTTGATACTTGTATTCTTCCTAGCAGTGTATGATTAATGACTACAGTGTGAAAAACCAAACCGTTATTATGCAAAGTAATATTTTCAACACCTCCGAAAGTCAACTTTGAGTAATACCAACATGATAACAATGTGAATCGATTGACACCAACGTTTTAGAAGCGTTCCGTAGCCTATATTCGTATTACTCTCGAATTGAAGAAAGCCATCTCGAAAATCTAGATATGCATAACTGTTTGCTTCGCACTATATATGCAAGCATCGCAAATACCCCTTCCCAGAATTGAACCCACGACCTCTCCCATGCTTACAAGAAAATCCACCACTCCTCGAATTTAGCTCTAGGATAATACGGTGCATGCACTGGTCCAGCCGCCTCGCCCTTCTGCAGATTCTCGCGATCCAATTTTATCACCAGAGTTCCAACGTCACCCTCAACAATCTCATTCTCATCAACAACCTCAACCTTAGTCTGCAAGCAATAGCAAACTTTGTAAAAAGCGCTCGCCCTCGTAATCGATTTGCAACTAACCTCAATTTTCATCCTCGTCACATGTTGGACAAACGCCTCAACATCAGCAAGCTCCTGTTCGTTCATGTCGGCACAACCTAAGCACAGAGTTAGACAAGTTGAAGATGTGGATTCACCCAGCAGGGGGATTCCTCTCATCATACGGATGATAAACGTTTGATCAGCATGCAACTGAACTCTATTCAATATCGAGCTGCATCCCGAGGAACGTATAGGTAGGGCGGATGACAGATTGGATGATATACAATCGAATACAGTCCTACCCTTTCGGTCCTTCCCAGTTTTATCAGAGTTAAGGAAGTCCTTGAAGGCGGTAGCAGTGTTAGGCTTGTTCTTAGTAGCATGTCGAGCCTAAAAATTGAGATAAAATCCATCAAGAACATACCGAGGTTCGATCCCGGGTCTCCACTGTGAGAAACTAACATCATAACCGCGCCGCCAATCTCCCACACTACCCTTTCCCCATCAAAATAAGGCACCTGGTACATTGCATTGCATCGTTGATCAAGTGCCTGCACCAGACAGCGCAGCAACTCCACCATACTCATACAAGTCGGCCTGAGGTTCAACGAAATGCACCAACGAGGAATCGAACCCGAGACCTCAAACCTACAACCACTCCCTCATCGCCGAGATCTCTACCATTGCTTGGACCACCGGCACCAGCCGAACCACCAGAGTGTCAGTGATGGCTCTGAAAACAAACAACTATACTCAGCGAGGAGGACTTCTTCATATTCCCACAAG